TTTTTTAAAGTGTGTTACACGTTAAAAACTGCAGCATCTATAGTTTTTCTCCAAAACATATTTTTTATTGCGAGCTCTCTGTTTTTTAATTACGTAACAGACACTACTGCCACACACACACGCACGCACGCACACACACACAGCTCGGTGCTTGTTTAATTACTCAGTGCGTGATGATATTTGACCGTGAGCCATAAAGGAATGCATAATGTTGGGAAACGCGCACATATGGTGACACATCAGGCTCTCATGTCCCAGGCAGCTGCTTCATATTCTCTTCGTGTTCCGCGTATATGGCGCTCTGACCCCTGACAGTCAGGCCCCTGCTCCTCTCCGGCCTGAGTGACTGATGGGCTGTGAAGGTGGGGGTGGGGGAGGGGGGAGTGTACTGTGGGAAACTTTGGCTTGCCAAGTGGGTTTCGAGACGAGATGAAGATGGTCCCTTCACTCATACGTGTAATTTTGCACTTGTTCGATTTATGCTTTTGCTTTTGCTGTCACCCTGCCGCGTGATGCTCTTTTTTTCTTTCTTTTCTTTCTTTCTTCTTCTTCTTTTTTTTTAGAACCTCCGGACAACTGGAGGTGCAGTCAGTCTCATACAATTTTGAGGTGAATTTTTCTGTAGCTGCTTTTATGTGTCTCTAAGTGTAAGGAAAAAAAGTGTTTGTTTGTAGATTCCATCGAGCAACCCTGTAGTGTAGAAAACGGCGTCAGGCATTCATTAAACCTACACAGATATCTTTGTGAGGAAGAGCCAACCTATTTGCCACCCACAAGGCAGCTGAATTAGGATGTGATTGTATCAGACGGCTGCTGGCTGACTCTGCCAGTACACTCTGTAATAAAGAATCTAAATGCACGTTCACGTATCTTTAAAGAGCCGCCGGGATTGACGGTAAATATGACAGAAGAATTCAAATCAATGCTACAGCTGCCTTTGAAGTGGCTTCTTCTGGTCACATGTAACCCAACAGTCCTCTTAAAGACACTCAAGTACTGCCAACAGCAGCACTCGTTTTTAAAATGCCTTCATCTGAATTTTAAAATCCGTTAAAAATGGATGTTAATGTGCACTTACTGCCAGCGGAAAAGTGGATATTGTCGCACAATATTTTCATCTGGAAGAAGTGTCCGTGTTCAAGGCCATTTGCATTTGTGCAGCTGGGCTGTGCACTTGGATTCAATCGAATCAGACTTTCAAATCAGTCGGGTTAT